TCCACAGGCAGATAGCTGAAGGCGGGAAGGCGGCTGGGTAGCCCGGGGAGTAGATCAGTCCGCAGCGGTAGTCATCGGGAAGACCGCATCTGATGTTCCCCACAGTTTGTCTCCCGAGCCATACAATCGTCGCAGACTCAAAAAAGCGGTTAAACAATGGGTGAAACATTTCTGTTGAAAACTCAAAGCTTTAAAATTAAAAAAAGCTAAAAACTTCCGTCAAGTTTTTTTTTTANCATAGCTATTGTATTGTCATTCAGCAAAAAAAAGTTATGGATTGGATAGAATTTTTGTTAAATACCTAGTCATGTCCGGAAATGTTTGCATTAAGGTCGCCTTTTTGTAGTTTCTGCCAAGTCACCATCGACACATTGTGTGGTGTTTTTGTATCGTCTCCACTGTGTGACGATGGATCTATGACAGGTAAGTAAGAAAGCAACAAATTATCGGTGTCTACTTCAACTTTCCCTAGCGACTACCTCTGCAAGCAGGCCATCTGGCCATAACGACTGCTTTTTCCCCGTCCCGAGTTTCCCCAATCGATGTAAGCATTTGCCTGAGACGACCAGTTGTCCGACACGACCGCGACTGGCACTATCTGGCACCGCACACGGCCGAATCTCTACCTATGACGACCGCGTCTTTTTGAAGCTTGTGGCAGAAATTTTTTTAGGATAACTAGCAACAAATTTTGATGGTATCGGCCAGTTCCCCATTGATTTCGACAACATGGCAGTATTTGCGCAATGCAAAATTGTGCCAAATGGATCACTTCGGGTCAATATTATTGGGCATGCAGTAAGTCTACTTTTGTAATATCGGCGGAGATTATGTCGTAGTTTTCCTGTTCTGTCTCTGATCTTGCCATACTATGCTTTTTGTATCAGAAGACCATGTGCCTAAGAAGACCACTTCACACCACGTGGTCGTCTTAGACAGGTGTAACTGTATAAAAATGAAAGATAAACACTAGAAAGGCCAATATTTGCTTTGGAGCAAATACAGCGATGGGTTCACCACATTTTATGGCAGTGAAAGAATGAGAAACACAAGGGAAAACAATGATTTACATTGATATAACTATAATATGAAGTAACATACAACTAAAACAACAGTTGGATAGCTATTCCCTACTTTATTGGTTAGGATTTTTAATTGCATAATGCAAACTGTTGATTTTCAAAATAATAAAAAAACGTTCATGCCCCGCATTCCAATGCTGGAGCAGAAAAGCTTGAAATACCTACCAAAACACTTGAATAAAGACATACTGTCAGTATGGAAATGCTCTGTGCAGGTGTTAATCAAGTTAAATCCCAACAGCCAATCAGCAAGAAGTATAGAGGAAAGCTGCATGCCTATTGGTTGATGCCCTGCATTCCATTGTGATGACTCATGCCCAGACGTGGTAAACACGGCACACTAACACAGTAATACATTTGCTATAACACAGCCAAAAAACTCAAATAAAACCATTTTAAAAGCCTGTATCACAAAAATTTAAAAAACGCCTAGGGGTATTTGCCCACTGTTCCTCCATGCCAAATTTCAGGACCTTAGGCCCTAAAATGAAGAAGCTGAATCCATTTAAAAAATGGCAGGAGGAGAAGGAGGAGGAGGAGAAGAAACATCAGAAAAAGCAATATGGTGAACCCATAATAAGATAATTTATACGTAGCTAACCGATATGTAAACATTATAATAATGCTACAGTCTGCCTTGGTGTTCTACGTTGAAATGCAGCGATGTTGATGATTGCTTATTGCTATAATTTGATTCTCAGAACACAGCGAACATTTAAACAATTTTTATCCTCAACCTGTATCGCTATGTGCACTGTAAAGACCACTGGAAACTAGAAAGGCCAATATTTGCTTTGGAGCAAATACAGCGATGGGTTCACCACATTTTACGACATGGCAGGGAAAGAATGAGAAACACAGGGGAAAACAATGATTTACATTGATATAACTATAATATGAAGTAACATACAACTAAAACAACAGTTTGGATAGCTATTCCCTACTTTTATTGGTTAGGATTTTTAATTGCATAATGCAAACTGTTGATTTTCAAAATAAATAAAAAAACGTTCATGCCCCGCATTCCAATGCTGGAGCAGAAAAGCTTGAAATACCTACCAAAACACTTGAATAAAGACATA